CTCACGCAATAGTTTTTATGAATTATTTACTGTGCTGTTAAATTAATATTCTTTGCAGTTTTAATCATTATTTTGAAATTAATGGGTTGAATGAGTATCGGATTAAAAATACTTCCCGTTATTTTTAAATAATCAAATTTTAATTAAATTGAAATAAAATTGGTAAAATCCAAAAATTGGTTAATTTTTTTTAACCAATTTTGATAAAAAAAAATTAAATAAAATTTTTTAATATAAATTTTCATAAAAAATATAATATATTTTAATTTTATTTATCTTATTTTAATAATTATTCATTTTTTACTTTCTAGTACATTTTATATTTATAAGTTTTATTATAATTTATGATAATTATAAAAATAATCTTTGTTTTTTTATAAAAAACATTATTGTTAATAAATTTATTATATATAAAAATATTTGAAAATAATGAGGGGGAGATTGATGGAAATGTCCCACATTCCCAATAGATAATTTTGATGATGATTCAAATCAACTACATTCAAGTCACCACCATTTAAGATAAATTGAACTAAGGACATCAAGATGAATTAATGACAAGTTGAATTAAAGACGTTAGTGACAATGTGAAACATTTTCCTACATGCTCAAGATATGATTTTGATAAAGACAATGATTCAAGCAACCCCAAGATGATTCCTGAAGACTAGATAGAGTCTTAGAATATGGAGGTACAAGTTGATGAAGTGGTATTATGCATAAGCCTCCAAAGCATAAGTGTGATAAAATTTGGTAACATGATATTTTTCATTGTCATAATCAATTATGATGCATCAGAATTGAGAAATTGATTTTTACCCCGACATAATCGATTATGCTAAGGAGATAATTGATTATGCCAGTTCGAAATTCAAAAATATATCTGTTTTGAAGAATAAATATTTTTGAATATATCTTAATTTTTATCTACAAAGATATTAATGTTCAACGACCATTTTCTGATGCTATTTTTCTATTTAATTAAGTTTTGATGGAAAATAAAAACACATAATTACAGAATTCGAAAATTCAATTTACATTCAATCAGTTTTGAGAAAAGAATTCTGAGCAAGACAACAAAGATATTTTACACCTTCTGAGAAAAGTCTCTTCTCTACTGTCTTCTGTGTTTTCATTGTGTTGGTGGGAAAAAATTGAGAATCTGAATCGAAAATCGAAAGAAAGAATTCGATGATTATTGCTGAGGAAAATCGAGAATCTGAATCGAAAATCGAAAGAAGGAATTCGATGATTATTGCTGAGGAAAATCAAGAAATCTGAATCGAAAGAAAAACAGAGGAAATTCGATGAACATGATTGAGGAGGTAAAAAATCGATTATAGGTATTGAGTGTGAGGCTAAGTGGGAAGTCAGAAGTAGTTTAAAATACTCGATGGTTGAGGTCGAGATCGAGGAACGGTTAACGCGCACATGGAACATGGGAAGCGTTTTCTAAACCGTGACTAAGTTGGAAATCGAGGAACGGTTAACGCGTACATGGAACATGGGAAGCGATTTTATAAACCGTGGCTAATGTGGAAATTGAGGGAACGGTTAAAGTGCACATGGAACATGGGAAGTGGTTTTCCAAATCGTGGCTAAGTTGGAAATCGAGGAACGGTTAACGCGCACATGGAACATGGGAAGCGGTTTTCTAAATCGTGGTTAAGGTGGAAATCGAGGGACAGTTAACGTGCACATGGAACGTGGTAGCGGTTTTTAAACCACTCGTAGGAGGTTACTTTGAAGAACATCTATAAATAGAACGAAGCATGAAGACGGAAGGGGAAATTGGTAGAGAGAACAAAAACACAAGTGAACAAGTCTACCGGAGAACGACGAATCATCAAGTTTCTGGCGATCTGAATTTCCATTTTTATTGACTGTTGTTACCGCTTTCTTTACTTTCCCTGGTACTTTATCTTTAATGCAATCTAATTTTACGTGCCTTTATTTTCATGTTATTTCAATTTCATTTCCCTTTACATTTATGCAATCTTAAGATTCTGCATGACATCTTTGTCTCGATAGTTTTTAATGTTTTCTTTACTTTCCCGATAATTTATCTACTTGCACGTTTAATTTACCTTCCAGTGATGTCGATTACTTTTATGCGCACTTTAATTATGTCATTTACTCTTAGTGCAATTTAATTTTATGTATTACTTTGTTGCCTCGATGTCCTTTTACTTTTACTGCTTTCTCTACTTCTGTTAAATTTTATATTCTCGAGTTTTAATAAATAAATAAAATACAAAAAGAGAACTTTCAATTTCAATATGTATGTTTTATCACGCTTCCCATGTTTCTAATATACGCGTTTGGTTTAATTTATTTTGCTCGATATTTTTATATTCTCGATTTACATACATTTTTTTATTGAAAAAACTGTTTGTTTGCCTAAATAAAAAGAATTTACATGATTAAAATTTGGTTAGAACCTAAGTCTTTAGGACAGCGAAAAAAAAAACAAAATTTTCACCAGAAACGCATTGTTAATCACACTTGTTTTGGAGGTTGGCATTCTACAGGCTTCTACAATTTGTTGTCTCCATTACCCAAGTGTGACTGTTTTTATTTTTATTACCTTCATCATTTGTGTATGATTATTCTTATCTTACTCTTTCATCCTTTGTGGGTTTAAGAAGTTTAAGTTAATCAATTGTGTTATTCATCCTTTGATTTATTGAGAGGAGGTGTTCATCCCTAGTGTGATTCTAGGGAGGTGTTCATCCTTTGTGTATTGGTGGCAAAGGAGGTGTTTTTCATCTCTAGTGTGATTCTAGGGAGGTGTTCATCTTTAGTGGGATTCTAAAGAGGTGTTTTCATCCTTTGATTTGTTCAAAGGATGTGTTCATCCCTAGTGTGATTCTAGGGAGGTGTTCATCTTTAGTGGGATTATAAGGAGGTGTATTCATCCTTTGATTTGTTCAGAAGAGGTGTTCATCCCCAATGAGATTATAGGGAGGTTTTCATCCTTAATGGATTTCTAAGGAGGTGATTGTCTTTTAAATTAGTTTATTTTTTACTGAGTTTATTGTAATTTGTGAACTGAATTTAAAAGATATTGAATTGGGGTCACTCTTGTGTTAAGAGCTGACTGGGAACTGGTGAATAGATGCACAAATTTGTTCAGAAGAGGTGTCCATACCCAATGGGATTATAGAGAGGTATTCATCCTTAGTGGGTTTCTAAGGAGGTGATTGTCTTTTGAATTTGTTTGTTTTTTGCTGAGTTGATTATAATTTGTGAACTGAATTTAAAAGATATTGAATTGGGGTCACTTTTGTATTAAGAGTTGACTTAAAACTGAATGTAATGTTGGTTATACCCGAACCAATATAAATCTTTGTGTGATATTTTCTTCCCTATATTGTCCTTATCTTCTCTATAATCTTATCTATCTGATTATATCGTTTATGCTTTCTTTGTGTTCAATTTGATAATTAAAAATTGAATTGATAAATTATTAGACATCTTACAATAAATTTTTAATTTGACATCTATTTTAATTTGTGCATCTATTCACCCTCTCTAGATGTCATTTATCTAACAATATTATTAATGCAACCAATTAAAAATATTATACAATATTAAAATATATTGTAAGAAAATTCACAATTTGTATCATTATTTTAATATATAGTAAATTTTAATTAATTTTATCCATAAATTATTTAATGTCCAAAGTAAAAGTTAGTTAATACTTTGTTTGAAAAGTCTTTTATATGTAAGTGACATTTTTTTTAAGTGAAAAGAGTCTAGTTAAATTATGACATCGAAACAATGATATTTGAAGGATTTAAGGTCAAAATATAAGAGATGCTTTTATTTATTAAATATATTTTGAATAGAAAATAATTTTCTAACTTTATATGCATGTATGAATAAATTTTAAATCTTCCCATATTAATATATATTTATTATCTTAGAAACAAATATTTATTAAGAAATATAGGTTTTATGGTTGTCTCATTCAATTTCTCCTATAAAAGGATTTTTCACAACATATATTTAAAAGTTGTATCATTCAATTAGAACAAACATGTAAATAGAATCACATTCTCAAGTTTAGTTAAAAAGTTTTGAAATATTAATTTTCGTCTATAAAAAAATTATAATTTGTTAGCTTGCATATATTTTTATCCTGAAATGTAGTTGTGTTTTATTTTTGTTTTAATTCATATAATTTTTTTTAATATTTAAATAGTTTGTTCAACCATTTAAAATAATTAGAACACAATTTTCGAAATTGAATTAAATCTAAATCTTGAAGATGATAACCCTGCAAATTTTCTATTGATACACGAATAAGTACAAAACCATAACCCTGCAAATTTCGTCATATAATTTTTTAAAAATAAATAAATATTAAAAATATTATTTTAATATTCTAAAACTCGGGGTTGACTTCCTACGCTCCAGAAAAATTTAATCAAGTCGGTGATTTTAAATATGAAATGTTAAAAATATTATATATACTGGTTAAATTTTATAGATTGTACAAAGAAATATATGAAATATTCATGTACAAGTTCTTTAACTGTTTAATTTTATTTTTAATCAGCCTCTATTAGGCATAATATATTAAAATAAAAATTACAGTTAAAAAATATATTTTTACATTAAATATTTAATATTATAATTTAAATTATAAATATTAATAAAATAAATTTCAATTATTAATTATAATTAAATATTTAAATATAAAATTTTTAATAAAAATATTAATTCATAATAAAATTAAAAATCATTCATATAATTTAAAAATATATATAATTTTTTATATAAAATAAAATATTAATGAAGTGATGTTTTACGTCCTAATAAAACCTAAATATGGTTTACTATTATTTACGTACTAGAATATGTTTTTTTTTTCCTCTTTGACTATGTCCTTTATTTGAAAGGATTATTGTCCCTCAATTTGTCCTTTACACTTGTTGAATCCCTTTGCCATAGGGCCTAGAGTACATCCAACAAGAGGAAGACTAGGTCCTGTAGTCACATGTCTATGTCACATGATAGGGTCTTATGGATTGAGTTGTCTGTTGCAACAACTCATACACCATAACCATAACATTATGTTATGGGACACATACCATTATGGTAGGACATAAGAGTTCCTAAGTGGGGTAACAGAAGAAGAGACAAAAACATATCAATAACAACCACTCTCATCTCTAACATCTTGTGACACCTGCCACCCATTGCATTTATTAGGCTCAATTAGTCAATTATTCACGACTTTTTTTCATAAATAATACTGTTTTCAAAAATATGTTCCAAAATAACACCCCTGCAACTTTATTTACACAACTAGCACTGTTTACTGTTCACATAATAAAATAATATTATTTCGCGCAACTGTTTACTGTTTACGTATTAAAATAATATTATTTCGCGCAATGAATTCTCGCTCAAGCGAAGAAACCCTTCGCTTGAGCGATAAAATCTGTAACGAAGGGGTAATCTCCGGTCAATTCTCGCTCAAACGACGGATATTTTCGCTTGAGCGAAAAGTATGATCGATTAGTATCCAATTATAGTCGATCACTTTGACATATATGACTTTAGATAGCGGTTATTTGGCCAACCGCTATCTAAACTACTACATTAGACAGCGCTTAAAGCCTAACCGCTATCTAATATATATTTTTAAAAGCGGTTGTTATCAACCGCTATCTCAGGTTACTCAAGCGAAAAACACATCGCTTGAGCGAGGACACCTGGAAAAATGGGGGATTCTCGGGTTCTGTCTCGCTCAAGCGACGTTATAAACGTTTGAGCGACAAGTGATTCTAATATGTGGTGAACCAAGTTATATTATTTGGCTAACTGCGTTTGACGTTTCGGCATTCGGTCAGTACACGCTCAAGCGATAAAGTTATCGCTTGAGCGACGAAGCCATCAAACAAGGGGGCTCTCGGGTACTTTCGCTTGAGCGAGACGTTATTGAAATATGTGGTGGCCCAAGTTGCATTATGTGGCTAACTGCGTTGGACGTTTAGCCTGTGGTCAATTCTCGCTCAAGCGAAAAATCCGTCGCTTGAGCGAGGAACCTGCAACTATTTACAATGCTGAGTCACCCACCGAAGTCAGGATTCCCATGTCTTTCTGATGCACACAAGTAAAGAATCCAATGCTGAGTTACCCACCTAAGTTAGGATTCCAATCTTGGATTCCCTGCATTGGGTTAGACAAAAGCAGAAGAATCCAAACATATTTAAAGAGATGTTGACCCACCCACTTTGCTTGGGTTTTGTGTGCGTCAGAAACCATGTGAGGGAGCGTTGGATTCAAACCAATGGACTTCATTATAAATAGACCACTTTCATTCTTTGAAGTTCTCACATTGCACACTCCTAAATCTGTGAAGCTATTTGGATTATTTCTTCTTCTTACATTTAGTCTTCTTTGTGTTCCACACTCCTAAAATGGGTGTAGTGTCTACTATTGTCCACTATGATGGTTTCATGAACCCATGTCCCATGGAGGGAGTTACCTTCAATACCGGGACTGCAAAACTTGTTCCTTTAAAGAGAGGAATTTCTTTACAAAGGTTGAAGAAGTTGATCCACAAGAAATTGGAGAAAGAACCCCACGAAAATGTAGCAACCATCCATTTTCGCTGTCCAACTAGACTCGGAGCTGGGATCAACAACTTCATTGCTGTTGAGTTGAAAGATGATGACGACGTGGAGGCCATGTTCGATATTCATGATTCACACTCAAGTCTATGTGGTATTGAAATTTTTGTTTCATTTCAAACTTCTTCTTCTTCTTCATTTTTGGATTCTTCTGCTTTTGTCTAACCCAATGCAGGGAATCTAAGATTGGAATCCTAACTTAGGTGGGTAACTCAGCATTGGATTCTTTACTTGTGTGCATCAGAAAGACATGGGAATCCTGACTTCGGTGGGTGACTCAGCATTGTAAATAGTTGCAGGTTTCCTCGCTCAAGCGATGGGTTTCTTCGCTTGAGCGAGAATTAACCATAGCTAAACGTCCAACGCAGTTAGCCACATAATGCAACTTGGGTCACCACATATTTCAATAACTTATCGCTCAAGCGAAGTACCTGTCGCTTGAGCGAGACAGAACCCGAGAGTCCCCCTTGTTTGATGGCTTCGTCGCTCAAGCCATTACTTTATCACTTGAGCGAGTATTGACCGAATGCCGAAATGTCAAACGTAGTTAGCCAAATAATATAACTTGGTTCACCACATATCAGAATCACTTGTCGCTCAAACGTTTATAAAGTCGCTTGAGCGAGACAGAACCCGAGAATCCCCCATTTTTCCAGGTGTCCTCGCTCAAGCGATGTGTTTTTCGCTTGAGTAACCTTAGATAGCGGTTGACAACCGCTTTTAAATATATATATTAGATAGGGGTTGGCTTTAAGCGCTGTCTAATGTAGTAGTTTAGATAGCGGTTGGCCAAATAACCGCTATCTAAAGTCAAATATGATCGACTATAAATGGATAATAATCGATCATATTTTTCGCTCAAGCGAAAATATCCGTCGCTTGCGCGAGAATTACCCCTTCGTTACAGATTTTATCGCTCAAGCGAATAGTTTCTTCGCTTGAGCGAGAATTTACCCCGAGATTCACCTTTGTTACAGATTTACTCGCTCAAGCGAAGGGTTTCTTCGCTTGAGCGATAGTTCATTACGCGAAACGATCGATCATAATATAAAATGATCGATTATTTTATTATGTGAACAGTAAACAGTGCTAGTTGTGTAAATAAAGTTGCAGAGGTGCTATTTGGGAAAATATTTTTGAAAACAGTATTATTTATGAAAAAAAGTCATTATTCACATTGCTAAAGTAAATTTGTGACTGATTTCATTTTTATGATGTTTATTATAAGCCACAAACTAATATTATCAACTTTCACATGTTTGGTTATCTCATTCTCAAAAATTAAATTAATTTATTTAAAATTAAGTAATTATAAATTACAAAATTATCTATGTATTTATTTTATGAATACGGAAGAGTGACAAATTTGAAAAATATGACTTTTTTTACAATTTTAACTTTTTTTATCATGAAAAATAAAATATATTGAAAATAAAAGTGACATTTTTTATTAATGTGTTTTTAATTAATTAAAAAAATAGTGGATAAATTTATTGTTCTGATAGGTATTTTATAATAGCATGATAGTAAATTTAGAGTAAATAATCAAACTATATTAATTATATAATCTTTTAATATATATTTTATTTTCATGTTTAAGCAATGACTTATCAATTTTTCATTGATTATTTAATGTCTTAAATAAATTTATAATGAATTAGATTTTATGATATTGGTCTTCATGAAAGTTATTTATTATTAGCTTATCTAATGTATTATTGCTTAAAATTTGTTAATTTTTTTAAGTTTAAATTCTTTTATTCTCAACATTTGTTTTAGGTCTAAAAACATGTCGAGTGTTCTGTTTTTAAAAGTTTATTTTTAGAAATTCAAGAGAAAATTATATATATATATATATATATATATATATATATATATATTAGTTTGTTAAGAAAAATATTTTTACGTTCATATGTCAACCGTAAAATAAAGTAATAATAATAATAATAAATAAATAAATAAAATTATTTTGTATCCTTTCATTTAAGTATCTTAATTCACTTTTGCATTATATAATAATATATATATATATATATATATATATATATATATATATATATATTTAAGTTTGGCAACTTTTGTAAAAATAATACCAACAATACATTACCATTAAACACTTCAAAATAATTATTTTAAAGTTTTAGCAAAGAATATTATACTGGCACCAATCAAACTCCTGTACTAAAATTGAGTTTCAATTACAAGTAGTAGCGGTACCCTACAAAAACAAAAATAAAATAAAAAACAAAAACAAAAACAAAAACAAAAACAAAACGAAAACAAAAAATAAATCAATTGTTGTTATGTGTCTGCAATATTTACTTTTCCATCTCTGTGTGTGTCCTTTCTTTGGAAGGGTTATTGTGCCTCAATTTGTCTTCTGTAATGGCTTCATCCTCTTTGCCCTTGAGTACAAGAAAACTCCAACAAGAGCAATACCAGTTCCTGTAGTCACATGCACACCACAGGAAAAAGGGACATCAGAATTCTTCTATGTTGTAGCAACTTTGGTTCACATGCATGTGTTTTAAGAGTGTAAACACCATGCACCAGAAAATTTATGTGACTTTTATGATTATGTAGGCCATGAGAGACTTACCAAGTGCATTAACAAGAGAGACGGGAGTTTGAAAGAAGATGACTGAGGAAACAATGATAACCACACGCTTCACACTGTTTGCAACTGAGTGTGTCACTGGTGATACCATCTCTAATATCATATATGAAACCTGCCATCAATTGTTTTTATTTAGCTTCAACACATTTCATGAAGATACAATACTCAATTAGTCACATTTTCAATGTAACACTATGACTAACTTTGACCTCAGTTAAACACATTTGGAAGTGTTTGTCTCCTCAACATTTGAAGAAAACGGAAGAGGATAAGAAAACATCTCAGTTATTTCTGTATTTTGGTTTTCGACATACTTGTTTTGAAAACAGTTTTCAGAACTCAATAGTCTTTGATGACAAAATTATTGATGAGAAGTATGCAATTAAACAAAAGATATGAAGGGAATGAAAATGACCCTGAGATTGGAAATCAAAGGATCACAGTCATTAGAGAAAAAGTAATTATTTCCTTGCATTGGAAACCTTCTTAGAAGAAAATCCATTATTCACACCAGCAAAACAAAATCTTTGAAAGGCTTCACCTGCTGATATGCATGGAAGCAGAATGCAGCAAAAATTGATCTGACACATAGCTCTCTAACATTCAGCCCTTGGCTTGCCTGTGTTGTAAAGAACAGCATATTACATGTCAGAAATTTTTTTCTCTTTTTCAATTTCTTAACAAGGAAAAAAAAGAGAAGGATCATATGATTTTAAAAAAAGAAAAAAAAAAAAACTGTACACATACAGCATATTGCAGGTATGAAGGAGAAAACTTGACACCCTCCACAAGTAAGGCAAATGGAACCAACAGGATGAAGGAAATGATCGTTGTAACTCCATAGAGATTGATAGTGTCCAAAGTTTCCTGTCAAGAATATGCTTCAAATGATGAGTCACATTTCTAACAGATATTCTAAAAATGTTCTTAAATGACATTAAGAAATTTAAATGAGATTAACTTGCATTCTTAATTAGCGTAAGTTGATTATTCTTTTTTTTTTTTTCTTGTATTTGAGTCCAAAGGTATATTATATGTGTGGACATGCACACGTATATGCAACAAGTTCATTTTGTAACTATGTGATAACCATAAAGTTTTGGCACTATGCAGATCTGGGGAAGTTCTTTACCTCTTCACTAGTCATCATTTTTTTGCTCAAAACGTTCCGTGATTGATTTGTAATGTTAGCTGCCATAGCAGTGGTGAATCCGATCCTGTTTTGAGACAGAATATGTCAAACACTTGAATCAATATTGGTAAGTATTCAATGATGAATATCAGAACTATTCAACATTGTCCCTGAAGGAACTTCATATCTGCAAAAGTTCTAGTGGGATTATTAATTACCAATTGAAAGAGACTTCAGTCATTGATGCCAATGCCACCCCCCCAACAATTGGCATAAGGGAAGAAAACACCCAGAAAGTAGGCCTCTGTTCATTTAAGAATCAAAACTGAAGGTCAGAACATCATAAACAATTAGATTATTCTGCATTTTGACATGAATGAGTAGAATATGGTGTAGACCCGAAGCATTAGCACAGAGTGACTACCATCACACTATGCAAAAGTGCAGATGAAAAATATTATTATGCAATAATATATATGAACAAATAATGTGTATACACTAATATTATTGTCATGTTTGATAAATGTATTAACTTCCATAATAACTTATGCAAAGTCACAGTAAAAATTACTTTTACAAAACAAAACATAAAAAGTTATTTCAAAAAGAGAAAAATATAAATTTGGGGATATATCATAATATAGATTGAGTAAACAGATGATTATGAAAACCTTGAAATAAAGGAAATAAACAAAAATTGGTTATAATGATTGGGCTTGCCAGAATGATTAATAAGACAAAAATTAGAAACTGAATGAATAGAATACGCATGAGTTTGATTTATATTTCATTGGAATTGGACCACATTCAAAGAAAATATCATATGGTTAGTATTAAAAGTGGCACAATCTCAATCACTTTCATGACAGCAACAAAGTCCCCATTCAACCTCTGTAACCATTCAAAGATGGTGGTTAACGGATTTAGATCATCTTCAACTGTCCTACCTCTGCCGTTCTGATCTTAATATATTTAATAGTTATTAAAATTAAAAATATAAAAAAATTGATCATACAAATAATGAAAAATTAATACATTATTATAGAGCTAAACACGTGGTTAACAATTAATCTTAGCAGATAAGGTGCTACAAACCCTACTCTCAACAGAAAAAACTGTCATATTGGGGGTGGTTACTCAAACTTAACACTGAAAGATTGTACCCACCAAATTAGTTGTACTTAAAATTAAGACCAATCATTGACTTTGTCGTGATAATAGGTTGGTGGGTAGATCAGATTGGTGGATATCATATATTGAACTGCATAAGTTAGTATATATTCTATCTATTTATTACTGTTTGGTGAATCAAATTAACTGTATGATTACATGAATGAACTGAGTGCAGCAAATCTAGATTCCATGTGACTATTGAAAAGAAAAATATTAACAACAATATAACTAAGATTCTGCATAGCATGAAGGAAGAAAAATTAAAATTTTACATGGAAAGTAAGGTGAAGACATGAACATTACCTGACCCAGGAAAAGGGCAGAAAGAAGAACAGTAAAGAAAGGTTCCATGGCTTTGATTGTGTGAGTGAAAGATACAGCAACCTTGCAAAGACTAATGTTGGTCAAGAGGTTCCCCAATGTGTGAGCCACAGCCATTGGAAGGAGTGTTATTACAAGCTGCCAACACAAATAAATGATAAAATTAATGAATTGAAATTGATGGGTCACCCACCCCTTTTTCACCACTTAATTCAAAGCACCTGTGAACCACTGATGCTTGGTCTGAGATGGAGATTGAAGGTCCAGATTAAATTAATCACCAATGACACAAAGCCAAATTGAAATGCTGTAACTGTTGCTGGAAATGGATAGACTTTTAGAACCTAATAGACAGTCATCAGTGCATTGAAATTGAGAAAAAAAACCAAGAGTTTAAAGTAAAGGAAATAAAAAAGTAAGGACATGCAAGCCTGTGATTGAAACTTCAAATTGGCATTCTCTGAGCATTTTTAATATTAAAATCTTTTTAAATTCATTATGTGTTCATAGTTTGTCAAAATTTACGTGTCATGTAGAGAGATATGTGAGAAAAGAGTAGCCTTGAACCACCTAAATAAGTAAAAAAATGGAGTCTTTTGGAGTTCAAATGGTGGATGAAAATGAAGAACCTGCTTGTTGTAGATGTTGAAGTAGATGTTCAAGAGGTACCAAAGTGCAAGCATGGCTCCAAGTTGCAGGGTCTTGACCAAGCCAGTGGTTTTGGTAGGTTCATCACTTCTAGCATCAGGGATGGAGGCAGCAAGGATCCTGAAAGATGAAAGTTTAGGGGAGGAAATGAGGAAAGGAGAAGACTTTGAGGCAGTGAGGGGCAAAGTCGGAGATGGGGGGAGTGAGAGGGCATTGATGGGGTGGAGCTGAGGAGGGAACTTTGGCCTGGTTGTGAGGTTTTGAAGATGTGGAGTTGAAGGAGAGTGTGAGAAAGAAAGGAGGGTTTGCATTTTGGGGTTCACAGAGACAGAAGCTAACAGCGATAGAGAACACTGAGACATCGCAGTTGCATGGAGGGAAAGTGAAGGAAATGTTGCTCCACGCTCTGTGGAGAAACACACCAAACTTTTATATAGCCATTTGGCTTCCCTTCTCTCATGTCAAATTCTACACCTACTTCCTCTAAAACTTCAAACTTTCCAAATAGTAATAATATATATTTCATCAAATTTATTATCCTCCTGTTACTAAAAAAATAATTAATAGATTAATTATTAGGAGTTAGGAGACATTTAACTTAATTTTATATAATATTATATATAAAATTATAAAATATCTAATTTAACTCTTAAAAATTAATTATATATATTTATTTATATTTTATGTTAACATAAGACATGATATATTTAGTTAATGTCGTAATTTTGAAATTTCATTTTTATTACACTCTTTTCTCTTGAAGTGATTTTCACGATTCAATATTAATGTGATATCAAATATTTAATTTAATATAAATTAAAAAATTATATTTATATAATTTAATATTATCATATCATTTATCATATTTGTCTATATAACAATGATTTGTACTTATTCATACAAATAAAAAGTGTCAATTAAGTTGAAAAGTGGAATATTTTATTTAATATTAATTCAATTAAAATAAATTTAGATTTTTTTATTAAATTTAACCGTATTCAATTCAACATAAGATTTAATTCTATCATATTTATAAAATTATTAAATAATATTATTAAGGATAATACAATTATTATTTATTTTATTCAATTATTTCATTAATTAAATATATATATATATATATTTAATTATATAATTATAAATTAATATAATATATTTTAAAAATTATAATTGAAAGTACAAAATTTCATAAGAGAATAATTTTAAAAAATGTAATTCAATTCACCTACCTTTTACATTCCATTAAAAAAGTATATAGTTTTACTTATTTATATTCAACAAAATAATTAAATATTTATTTCATATTTATTTTTATTTCCTCTATTTTATTATTTTAAAATTAAATCACATTTTAAGCATTATTCTCTTTAGAACTTAAAAGTGATTTTATTGTTAGACAAATGACGTCTAGAGGATAGTAAATAGATACACAAATTAAAATAGATGTCAAATTAAAAATTTATTTTAAGATATCCAATATTTATTAATTCAATTTTAATTATCAAATTGAACAAATATAAAGAGAAAGATAGAGATAAAAATAAGGAGTATAAGGAGAATAATGCAGTGAAAAAGAGATAAGGAAAAAGGAAGAACACACAGTGATTTATACTGGTTCGAGTATAGTCAACCCTAATTCTTAATCAACTCTTAATACAAGAGTGACCCCAATAAACTATCTTTTAAATTCAGTTCATAAATTACAATCAACTCAGCAAGAAGTAAACTAATTCAAAAGACAATCACCTCCTTAGAAATCCACTAAGGATGAACATCTCCCTAGAATCTCACTAAGGATGAACACCTCCTCTGAAAAAATAAAGGATGAACACACCTCCTTAGAATCACACTAAGGATGAACACCTCCCTAGAATCTAACTAGGGATGAAAAACACCTCCTTTGCCACCAATACACAAAGGATGAACACCTCCCTAGAATCACACTAGGGATGAACACCTCCTCTAAATAAATCAAATGATGAATAATGCAATTGATTAACTTAAACCTCTTAAACCCACAAAGGATGAAAGGTAAGATAAAAACAGTCATCAAAAAATGATGAAGGTAATAAAAAATAAGAACAGTCACACTTAGGAAATGAAGACAACAAATCGGAGAAGCTTGTAAAATGATAACCTCCAAGAACAAGTGTGATTAACAATAAAAGTACAATAGGCAATGGAGAACAGAATTTTCTCAAAACATGTAAAATATCTTTGTTGTCTAGCTCAAAATTATTTTCTCAACACTGATTGAATGTAAATTGTATTTTCGAATTCTGTAATTGTGTGTTTTTTATTCTTCATCAAAACTCATTTAAATAGGAAAATAACATCAAAAAATAATCGTTGGTCATTAATATTTTCGTAGAGAAAAAAATCAGGATGTATTAAAAAACATTTATTCTTCAAAACTAATATTTTTCAAATTTGAACTGCCATAATTGATTAAGTTACCAGTATAATCAATTATGAGCGTTTTTTCATTTCTGATGCATCATAATTGATTATGACAGTAAAAAATATCATGTTACGAAATTTTATCATACTTGTGCTTTGGAAGTTTATGCATAATATTACTTTATCAACTTGTACCTCTATATCCAGTATTCTAATTCTAATATTCTATCTAATCTTCAGGAATTATCTTGATTTTGCTTTAATCTTGAATAGAATCTTTATCAAATTATATCTTAGACTTGCTTGAGTCTTAAATATTATTGACTTGAATCATCATCAAAACCAACTCTTGAGAACGTAGAGACATATTTCATATTGTTATTCATCTCCCCTCGTTGCTTTCATTTATTATATCTATGTGAAATATTTAAATTATATCCATGTGAAATATTGTAATAAAATAAAATAAATATATACAAACAATATTAATATCAAGTGTTAAATGACTTAAGATTTTTCAATATAGGATGTTAATGTTGTAATTAAGGGGTATTGCAAAACAGAGCACGTGTTCTCACACGTTGCAGAAGACTGTTTCAGAGTACACGTTGCAGAAGACTGTTTCAGAGCACACGTTGCAAAAGACTGTTTCAGAGAACGTGTTCTTACACGTTGCAGAAGACCTTTTCAGAGAACGTTACAAGGAATGTTACAAACCCATTACCAAGTCTTCCATAACTGTTACAGACTTTCTCTTATAAATAGAGATCACTTCACACTCTTCAGAACACACCTCTATCTGATCTTTTCTTCTCTGATCTTCTTTCTATGATCCTGGGTTAATTTACTCTTTTGAGAGTTTCTTGCTAGTTTCTGAGATCCTCGAATATTTCGAGAAGTTCCTGTTGTATCCTGGGGAACTTGCGCAATACACCGCGAATAAGTCCTTAAGGGCAGTGATTATACACGCCTCAGGAATAAAGTTTGCTCGTGTCTCTGTCAGCTTTTACAACAATCTTAAGGACTTTGGCTGACAGTACGAACATCAACAACTTCCTTCAATAGTTTTAGAATATTTGATAGTGAAAGAAAGGGAATTATGAAGTGCTCATGGATCAAGGTTAGTCTTCTGATTATGATTTATGTGTGTTATTATGTGAGAATCAATTCATGTATGTTATTATATGATTATGATTCATGTATGTTATTATGTGAGAATCAATTCATGTATGTTATTATATGATTATGATTCATGTATGCTATTACGTGAGAATAAAGAATCTAAACGTGAAGAGTAGTTTTATAGAAATAATAACTTATAAAAACTACAAATTAAAATACATGTGGTATCAGAGCTATACTTATTAGATTTATGATTTTCTCTTATGATAATTTTAAATTATGCTTTCCCAAAATTGAATAAAGGAATAAATGATAATCTATGTTGTAAGCTGCAATCAATTTTAAATTGAAATTAATTTCATAGTCCCTATGTGAATGACACTGTAATTCTTATTGAAATGTGAATGACCCTGTAATTGATTTTAATTGAAAAAACAAATTACGTGATTGAGTTAATGGTGAATTATATATAAAATTGATTACTGCATGTTATAATTATGATGAAAGAAAGGTAAAATTTTATATATAAAATGCTATGAGCATACATCATGCAGTTTGTCCATAGAGCACATGTGTCAAACACATGTTCATTTTTAGGATTTATTACACCAATACAACAGAAAAAATGAAAAATGCATTATGCATAATTATTTTATGTTATTGGAGAAATTATGCAAAATTATTATATGTTATGAGAGATTTTCTTTGTGAATAATTAGCAATTACATGTATACAATGTATGACTTAGATCTACATATTATTTTGTACATACATATAAGAAAGGGTTGAGAGTGTATGAAACCAGTGGATCTAACCCCACTTTACGTTCAAGAAAGAAAATTGTTTTTTGTGGAAAGCTAGGTCAACCTGCACCTCAGTGCAGACGTAGAATGAGAAACGACAATCCTCTTAAGGCAAATTTAGCCGAGGGAGAAGATATAATTATTGCGGTTGTTTCTCAAATAAATCTTGTGACAAATGTGAGCAAATGGGTGGTAGACTCTGATGCTACCAGGCACATCTGTGCAAACAGAAGTGTTTTTACCTCCTACACTAGTGTGGGGATGGAGAAGAACATGTTTATCTCGGTGATTCCAGGACAACTCCTGTCTTAGGAAAAGGAAAAGTTCTCTAAAGCTCAAATTTGGGAAGACTCTGGTCTTGAATGATGTGCTACATGTGCCATTAATCAGAGCTAATCTAATCTCTGTAGCACTATTGGAAATGTTGGGGTTAAAGTGTCATTCGAATCTGATAAGATTGTTATGACAAAAAATAATGTATTTGTAGGAAAAAGATAGTGTGACCAAAGCCCTTGGTTATTAATGAATGTTATTCTCTGCTTATAATATTGATTCATATGATCTGTGACATTTATAGATGATTACTCTAGATAAACCAAAGTATACTTAATCAAGAACTCTATTGCACCAAATAACCTCTAAGAGAATATACACTTACAGTGTGTTTTTTAAAACTGGTAAAACTCTCTACGAGTTATGGAGATGTTATAAATTTAATCTTAAATATTTAAGAGTGTGGGGGTGCCTAGCTAAGGTAATGTTATCCAATCATAAGAAAAAGAAAATAGGTTCTAAAATTTCTGATTGTATGTTCTTAGACTATACAGAACATAGTGCTGCCTATAGGTTTTTTGTCCTCAAAAGTGATATAATTGAGCATAATACTATAGTGAAAAAAAAATGTTGAGTTCTTTAAACATTTTTTTTTCTCTAAAGATTAGTGAGACACCTAAACAATCTATAGATATTAATAATGATAAAATATATGAGGATTTGAGGAGAAGTAAAAGACAGATGAAGGAAACCTCCTTTGGAGA